GGAAGACCCAGCAGAGAAGACAACACTAAAAAGTCAAAGTCTTGCCCAAACAAGACCCCTAGAAAGATTAAGCTGCTTGCATAAAGTTTGTGTGACCAGCAAAAGATTATTTTTCATTTATTTAAAGGACAAATCAACGGTCTTTCCTACAACACAAAAATCCTAAACATTTTTGTTTTATGCTTTCAGTACATGAAATCACGATGATAACAGAACTGAAGCACACCTCTGACACTGCAAGGGAGAACTTAAGACAACAACAGAATAAGCCTTTTGGTCCACCTACAATCTAACATTACTGAGAGGAGCAATACCTTACGTGCTGGAGACTTGTTTTATTTATTGTTTTAACCCAAGAATAGACTAAAATACTTTTCCTCATCTAGATCCGAAGTTGGTGGTTACAGACCACATATGTACAATTCCTGCGATGCTTCACCAATGTGCAATGGGACACACAGGCAAGTGGGAAAATGAGACCATTGCAAGTCAGCATCTACAAAATTGGAACAAGTGGTCAATAACAGTGCACCAATGTACAGAGAAAGTGAAAATGGGCTATAACAATCAACTTACCAAACAGGCTGGGGATGCTGTGGCTGGGAACAAGATAAGACTAGGGAGAAAAGCCTCGAGACAAGGGTTAATAGGGTACAAAAGAGGCAAGACCTGGTTTTGTAATTGATGCCATGATTAGCTTTTCCAGATTACTTGTTATTTTTGGACCAAATGACTTTCAGGAGTCTAAATGGGGACTGGAAGTGATGCTCTGTCAATGGGATTGGTGGCAAACTGTCCACAGCAAGCTCCAACACAGCTACTGAGTCAGCAGCTTGCAGCCAGCAAACATGGTACACGTTATTTGCTTCTTCTCCACACTCTCTGAGAGCTAGAAAATCCTCAAAAAAGGGGGGTTGAAACATCATGGCCTGCAGGCCAGTATTTAACGGAAAGGAGATGACTAAGGCACTTACGTGAGGCAGGCATGATTAATAAAATATTTAGAGGGCAAAGAGATCCCCCCCACACCCACCTGCCAAGCCTAGAGGGTGCTTCAATCACAAAAACCAACCAGGCAGCACGCAGGAGAGAACCATCAGCATAAGGCAAACTGCCTTTCTGCCCATGGGACATGACATCAGAAACTCACTGAAGGACCTTTTCTCTGGGGGCTGGAGAGCCCACTACATGTGCTACAAGAGTTAAATCACATGTTCTCATCACCTTATCTGTTTCCGTATCTTCTCAAAATCCATCTCATTCTAACTGCCTCAGCTAGCTGTACCAAATACATTCCTGAATTGCCTGAAAACATTAGCTATCCTAGGAAAAGGAGTTGTCTTCCTACTTACAGGACATATGTGGAAGCTGCAAAGACTTGCAAACACATTTGGACTTGGGCTGCTTTTTCAATACAATTTGTCTAGTCCCTGCAGTTAACCCCAGAGGTCTGATCCAGGGCCCAAAGTCCATAGAAACCTCCAGCCAAATCTATAAGCAGTCCCAGACCTGCAGTGCCCCACAATCTTTCCTCACATCATGCTAGAGTCACTAAAACCACTCAGATCACACCTCTAAAACAGAATGGTGGCCTTCATAAGACCACAGTTTCTATTTAAGAAATATATAGAGAAAGAAATTAGGAAATGATTCAAGAAACTGATAGGATTACATGGTTTTAAAGAGCTGATGGAACATATTCTTACAGAGGGATGTCATTGGTATTTCACCTATTCGCATCATCACCTCCCTGCCCCATTGTGCTCCATGCAGGAGTATTTCAAGCATCTGCTTAGAAGCAGGAGCAACACAGATGCTGCTATGGTCCACTAGACAGCAAAGGATGTCCCAAACCTCCTATTGTAACACCAGTTTTCCACCAGTTCACTGCAGAGACTAATTCATATTGCCACAGCTGGGTCACACTGTGCTGGTGCCTGCTCTGCAGTGAGAGACCAGCAGCAGCAGGAGACCCCAGCCTGCTCCCAGGGCTCATGACGTGGCTCTGCTGCCTAAAAAGCAGCAGAGACACACACAGTGCTGGCCAATATTTGGCCTGTGCATCTATCCAGCAGGACTAAAAGCCTTTGCTTTTCATATCCCACCAGAGTGTTGCAAGGATTGGCTCATGTATATTCAGCACCAACTTTCAAAGCACTGCACAAGAGCCAAACCTTTCGATTTTTTTAATCTGCTCCTTGTTCTGTCACTCCCTCCTGGAGGGATGTGTTTCTCTCCTCCTGAGAAACAAACAAGAACGAGGTCAGCGTGAGTGGGAGGTGGGAAGCACATTCCAGGCTGCTCCTCCTCTCTCAAACCACAAATGCCACCAAACCCTGCCCTCTGTCCAGCCCTGCCGACACTTTGCACAACTGCACAGCATCCCAGCCTCCTCACGCATCCAGACAGGATACTCAGCAGGGTGTTAAACCTCATCTCATTTCCTTTTTAGTTTCAAGGAGCAAAACGGGGGTGAGGTAGGCAGGGGGTCAAACAGCCACCCGTGGAGCCATGCAGCCAGCCCATGCACCCACAGCAAGGCAGGGGGGCTCCGCACAAGCCCTGCTTTGCAGCTCCCCTTCTCTGTCAAAGCACAGAGCAGATGCTGCAGACAAAGGTCTCCCTGGAGGCTGCATATGCCAGTGCCTCCCAGCCCTAGCGGAACATGCCAAAGCTTTGGCATTCAGCCTTAGCACAATGGTTCACATTTGAGTGTAAGTAACTGCTAGACATTAGACCTTGTGTTTTGCACAAGTGCAGGCAAATCCAACATGGGGCATTTTCTTCTACGCACAGACTTGTTGAGCCAGATCAAGAGAGCAATGCTGGGAACACAGTTCGTGTACAGGCAGCAGCAAGGAGAGGATGTGGACAAACCACAACAGGTTACTCTGTGGGACAAAGCAAATCAAAGTGCAGCTTACAAAACCCAAAAAGCATCATAAAGAATTAAAGAAAAAGGTATTAAAACCATAAACAGTCTACTCAAAGAGTATCTTCCCTTGGCTACAGTGCCCAAAACCCGCGCATCCATGCAGAGAGCAAGAACATCTGCTACTTCATCACAGAGCAGCAAAATCAAAGTGTTAGAAGGAATATAAAATCCCCAGATGTTGCAAAAAGCAAATTAAGATGAGTCACATATAAGAAAAAAGACTGCTTTCAGCATGTTGCTTTGATAAGTTTACAAGGCATTTTTAAGTGAGGAAAATAAACTCCTCAGACCCAGTAGAAGCAGAAATGGAAAAACAGACAATACCCCAAAATCATCTGCATTTTTGTATATTGATTTTACTGAAATGGGAAACAAAAACCCATACCATAATTTAAAGGGTTGGGTTTTTTTTTTTAACAATCTTGGCATAAGCAAACCTTTGTGACTCAGGGAAGGCTTTAAATTCAGGAGAAGAAATCACTTTATTTTTTAGCATGACACATTTCGTGTCACTTCCCGCAGATGGTACACCTGTGTACGCAGATGTGGCATTACATAGAGCATCTTTCAGGGAAAGGACAGCCGGAAAATTCTGCCAGCTTCACTGGGATCATACATGAGCCAAATTATAGTCCCATTTCACTCCAGGAGTTCTTTCAGGAATTATGCAGCACATGGGCATTAGAGTTCAAGCCAATACAGCTCTAGTCCCTGGTTTGTAAAAATGACATTAAGGCAGCAGCAGAAAAGGGATTATAGGAAAAAGCAACATCACTACAATTTTCCAAAAGGTTTTAAAAATGTAGTAGCTGATGATTTGCCTCCTTGATCTGTTGTTGTGTAGTCACTGCACCACAGGCACTGGCAGTGCCTAGGGCAGATGCTTCCTTCTCCAACTACAAATGGATTTCAGTAGAAACGCCCTCCCCTTGCTCTGCTGTGCAGCTCTTCACCTATTAAGCTGCCTATAACAACTAAAAGGTTATGAATGTGCTCAAATACAGCACAAGCCCAGAGGGAAATGTTCCAGAAAGATTTTAAAAACCCATCTTGGCATGAAGTAAAAGTCCCACAGTAGCTGTCCTTATTAGTCATGAACAGGAAGTCTAACTACAGGTACCTGGCTTGACAGAGCACAAATCTTGAACTAAAAGAAAAATACCATTGACTATCCTGGTTTGGGGTAAATTTTGTTGTTGTTTTTGGGGGCAGGGTGTTAATTCTTTTTGGCAAGGAAGTTGAAAGAATAACACCATTTTCCTCAGGGAAGGTAACAGCTACAAGGAAGACTGGGATAAGAGGTTGAAATTCAAGATGTCAGTGGCTGCTGAATACTGATTATACAGTGTTATGCAAATCATTTCATATTGCACAACAGGATAAGGACCACCAGAACTCAGCAGCAGAGATGCTATAGCTCTCAGCTTCGCACACACTCCCAGCTCCTGCAACAGAGCATAAGTTGAGTTTATTTGAAAAGGAACCCCTGGCAGAAGGCATCAGGATGTTACTGTGGGACTTCTGGAGGCCTTCAGAAAACTAAGAGTAGATCATTTTCCAAATTATATTATGTTATGCTAAAAGACAAACAAAACCATCCCTCCCCAAAACAAAAATAAACCAACCAGGAAAATTCTTCACTGTCAGGGTGGTAAGACGCTGGCACAGATTGCCCAGAGAAGTTGTGGCTGCCCCATCCCTGGCAGTGCTCAAGGCCAGGTTGAATGGGGCTTTGAGCAACCTGGTCTAGTGGAATGCGTTCCTCCCCATGGCAGGGGGTTGGAACTGGATAAGCTTTAACATCCTTTCCAACCCAAACCATTCTATGATTATGAAAAGCACAGGTAACCCATGGCAGCACAGTGTCCGAGTTGTCATCTGGGATGCTCTCTTTTGGGAACAGGCCATGACCACTGAATGGAAGAGCGGACCAGAGCTGGGCAGCTTGAGAGAGATGGAAGGGGAGCACCACACCTGGGATGGAAGAGCGGGTAACTTCTGGGAGGAGGAGGTCAGGAGGGACGTTGAGGGGGACAGCCCTGCCGCGGGGCCGGGAGGTGCCTACCTGGATGTACGCGCGCTGCAGGTAGCTGTAGGGCACCCTGCGCTGGAAGTCGGCGCGCACCTCGTCGGGGGCGCGGTGGCGGGAGGCGGCTCCCAGGCGCGGCTCCTCGCAGCGCCGCACGCAGCCGGCACGCCGCAGCACCGAGCTGAAGAAGGGCAGGTCTCCACCGGCACCGGGTCCCGGCGCCGCCAACCGCACCTGCCCGCGGCACAGCCGCCGGCACCGCAACCGCGTGTCCCGCAGCTCCCGCCGGCTGCGCAGAGCCCTCTCCAGGCACCGCGCCGCGCCCGCGAAGTCTCCGCCGTAGTACGCCTCCACGCCGGTGGCGTACAGCGCGTCGAAGGGCTCCAGCGGGCCGCCTTCCCCCGCGCACCCGCCGCCGGCCCGGCACGCCGCCGGCAGCAGCAGCAGCAGCAGCAGCAGGGCCCCCCAGGGCCGGCTCCCGGATGCCATGCCCGCCGCACCGGCGGGCCGTGCCATGGGGAGCGGGATCCGGTACAACGAGGGGTGCGGGCACCGTGTAGCGGAGCTTGGTGCGGTAGGGTCCGGAGGCGGGCTGCAACCGGGGGCGTGGCAGTAGAGGCCGGGGGTCCGCGCAGTGGAGTCCGCCGCTGTGGGGTCCGTGCGACGGGAGCTGGACCCCGCACAATGGATCACGGTGCGAAGATGTCCGGGGGTCCGCACAGTGGGAGCGGGGCACCGTGCAGCGGTTCTCAGCGCAGCGAGGTCCGGGGACCGAGCGCGGGACTCCGGTGAGGGTCTGCCTATGAAGTGGCGGGGCCGCGGCACGGCTCCATGCACGCCCGGCCCTGTGCCGCCCTCCCGCGCTGCCGGCACCTCTTAAAGGGCCCCGTTCCGCAGCCCGGCCCGCCCCACCGCCCCGGCCCGGCCCGGCCCCCCAGCAGCGAGCGGTGGCGCGGGGGGGGAGGGGGGAGCCGCTCGGAGCATCCCCGCTGCCCGGCTAGCCCGCGGTGCAGGGCTTTTAAATGACGTCGTGAAATGTACATCACCCCGGAGTGATTTAAATGGCAGTAGCAGCCTTCCCTCCCTCTTTTCCCTTCCGTGCCCCACACCTCCTCCTGCTTCCCCGTGTGCCCGCTGCTGGCGTCGTTGTTCGCAGGATGCTTTATTTGTCCCCCTCTGGGGACAGCCAGTTCCTCGAGGCTGTTGCTCGGAGCCATTTTTCGCCGAGTTCTCCACCCTCAGCCCCTCTTGTCCCGACAGCATCCTGCCTTTGGGAATCCTGCAAATAAATCATCTGGGACGGGCACAGTGAGTGGCTGGTGAAGCCTTTTCAGCTTCCAGGAGTGTATTTGTCTGGCTTCCTCCAAGGTTTCTTCTTCCAATGCTGCACAGCCTTGTCCTGCCAAAAATGTTACTCGTGGGTTTTGGTTTGATTTTTTTTTTTGCATGTACTTTAAGACATTCTTGTGATGAGACACTTGGCAATGCAGCCCAGTGATACATGATAACACTATCTTAGTTGGCATTTCAAATAATCTCAGTGTTGAACACCTGTCTGCAAGGTTTTCTTTCATATCAATACAATTCATTTGGCTGAAATCAGCTGTTCCTGTGTGAGAGGGAATGGGCAAATCCTGAATCCCAGTAGCTCTTTTACTGTAAGCTGCTCTTCACTCGAGGACTTCAAATCCTGTGCGTACAGCACTGTGGTCAGTAGTCTCTCACAAGAGATCGTGGCCTTATTTCAGACATTTCATGAATATCTCTATAGATGCTAGCCATCTTTTCATAGACTAAAATAGCTGCAACTGGAAGATGCTTGAAACCCATTTGGGTCCAGATTTTGTTATTGTGTTGAGCCAGATGTTCCTCACCGTCATGCCAGGCTTTCCCCTCTGCATCTCTAGCGGCTTTGATCGAATTGTGCCTTGTTTATACTGCTGTATCCAGGACCAAAACAGGGCCCAACGCCCTCTCTTTGGGCAAGTGACCAGATTATGGAGTCTGGTTTACAATGATTTCACATAAGGGAAGGTTTTTTTCCACATGGCTAGAGCTTTACTAGAATTGTTGGTGAAGAGCTTTAGAGCTTTCCCATCTGGCAAAGATTTCATAACAATCTTCCACATTGCTTTCTTATAAACTGGCACAAAATGTTTTAAAGGTTTGGGTGTCCCTCCATCCTTCTGCCCTGATAGACTGGTGTGCTGGGGCGAGTGCTCACAACAGGAGAACCAAACACGCCGCAGGGAGGTGTCCAGCAGGAGAGGTATGTGGTGTAATCACTTGCCTATGAAATATGAGTTCTCAGATCCAGATAAAGACTTTTGCAAGGGAAGAGTTATCAGCACTCTGGGGGAACAGAGGCAACCTTATGAGGGGCCTACTCCAGCCTTCTCAAAGGTCACAGAGATGCCACTGGTGACTGCACAAGTTTAAAATGGCAGTCAGCTCTGCCCCCCATCACAGAGATAAAGCATCTGGCTCCTTAGGAGCACTTTCTGAAGGATGCTCCTCAAATGATCTATTTGCAGAAGTGCTGTATGTAATTCTATATTGCCTCTAAGTCAGCAACATCTCTGCGCATGCAGTGATAACGTTGACAGCCTGCACAGGAAGGAACTCAGAAAGTACTTTCTGGAGAGAGAAAGAAGTAAAACAAAATGTTTTATTTCAGTTTGCTGCATTGTCTGATCCAGATGCTTCTTCTTTAAGTCCTTTTTGAAACAGTGCAGGAAAGGTTCTTAGTTCTGACATCCTGCAGCCCAATTCTGCTGCATCTCCTCTAGAGTCTTCTCTGTAGGCACCCACTAGGACCACAGTTCCACTACCCCCACTTTCTAGTCCTCCTGCTTAGGGTCATGCTTTCTTTGTTCACAAAGTTTGTGCTTTTTCTCACTTTGATGCTTCACTGCTACCTAATTGCAGCAAAGAGCTCAAAACCGGTCGGCATATACAAGCACCCAATTCAGGCTATCTCGGGGGCATTCAATGCCCTTGCTTGAACAGCCACCCTTATTTTTATACTGAAGTTTGCTGGTCCCCTGACTGGGGGTCTCATTCTTGCAGAAGATCTGAACTATAGCAACCCAGCAATACAGTTGCTGGAACCAGCAGCATTGTAGGCATGGTGTGCTTGCCTTCTTGGAGCTGGAAAGGAGCTGGCTTTAGAAGCCTGGCACATATAAAGGCAGGATTTCACCCGGCAGAGCAATTGCTAGTTTAGGATGTTACAGCTCTGAATCAGGCCCCAAGATGCCCGAGATATCCCTCATGCCTGTAATGAAAGGAATAATTCTAAAAATGTAACAACTCAGCCCGTGTTCAGATGTTGATCCTGGCCCCCGTGCAGTTGTTTTGAAAGACCTTTTCCTACGTAAATAGAGTCATCTGAACCTTTTTTTTTTTCCTTGAGGAAAACTCTGATATATGGGTCAAACCACTGATGATTTGGCAACAAGATAAGAGCAAATTTTAGAATGCCTTTCAAAATGACTTTTCAGCAGGCACTTCACAAGCAGGCTTCAGTTTCAAGCCCTCTCTGTTTCATTTGTAGACTTGCCTCTGTACTTAATTCATGGACAAACTTTGTGATTCCCAAATCAAACACAGGTGACCTCTTCAGCCATGTACCTTAGTGAGAGAAAGTTTTGAATCAGACGGAAAAGTACAGCACACCTTAACTGAAGGGCTTTCGTCCTTGCCTCATGTATCAAAGTACAAGTATATTGAATATATCAAAACCATTATGAAGTATTTAATCATAGAACACTTTGGCCTGGAAGGGACCTTCAAAGGTTATCTAGTCCAACCCCCAGTGATTAAGACCCGATCCAGACCTGAATTTTGTAGAATGCCTTCATCTGCCCAACTCCTCTTTTTATCCAAGAAGGTGTGGGAGAGACTGTGAATGTCAGTAGATGTCAGGAAATTAATACCAAATAACAGGCATAAGCAATAATAATCACGAACCACATTTTCAGGATTGTCCTTACAGGAAAAATCCACCAACAGAGTCACATAAAACTAGTCTATGTTTGGGTGTCAGGGGAAGGATGAGTGACCAAGGAGGAATTTTCTTTGCAAATTTTTGTTCTTGTTACAGCACATTGTAGCACATTGCAACAGAGCAGGATATGGATGGAGAGAATACAAAGTGCATGATGGGAATGCCACTGCACCAGCTACAGGATGTACGTGTTGGTTTCTTTGCTGCTGAATTACAAATCTGCATTCCCACAGCTGTTCCGCTGTACATTTGAGCCTGTCTCTGACACATTGCTCTGCTGAGTCACTGATGACTTGAGGTCAGCACAGGTAAGTTGAAGGTCTTCAATTTTTCTTCCTAAGCCTTTTCATTTTTACTTCATTCTAGGCTCGGTACCTGGGAGCAGCTGACTCTTACCATTTTCTTCCAAACAGACCTCTGACCTGTGATCAAATGCTGCATGCCCTTCTTCATGAACTACAGCCACAAGAGCCCAGGATGTCCTCTGTCCTAGCAGACCTCCACCCTGACATTTCCCCAAAGCATGTCCATCTCATATCTTGCTGATGACAGCTCCTTTTTTTTTATGACTTCCTCTTGACATCCACGGAGACATTACCTCTGCAGATGGACAAAATGACTGCCAGCAAAGCTTTGCTTACAATGTTGCTGTTGTGTATCCTTCCTCAACACACTGTCAAGGTCATCTCATAACCTTTGCAGCATCCAGTAAAGTTTGGCCAGGGCTTGTCCATATCTCTCTCTGCTACACTCCATTATTAATACCAGCTTTGACAGCTCATTCTTTCCTTTCTCCTGGTCTGGCCTGACTCTATGCTTCAGTTCATGGGACTTACTCTATCTGCCTGTTTTGGACACGGTTTTGTGATCTAGAATTTGTCATCACTTCTCTACTGCAGCACAAACCAAAACTAGCTCCCCAAATCCATCTCTGCAGTGATCCCTCCATTGCACTTCTCAAGGCTTTGGACATGTGCTTTAGTTTGCAAGCGCTCAGTGATACACAGAAACCCCTGTGCTAGATCTGTTAATAAGAACCTTAATACAAGAGCACAGACAAGTACAACACAAGGCTTGCTGTTGGCACTCAGCAGAGAAATACAATCACATAAATCACATAAGCAGAAGATCCTTGTGTCTTCCCATGCGTAGGCAACAGTATAACCTTACTAAATTCCAAGTGCCTGTACACTTTGCTTACTCAGAAACTTGGACTCTACTGCCGCTATAAATTAAAAATCAATAAAATTAAAGTTCAAAAAGTACAAAACACACAACCACAGGCGCATTGGTGTTTTGGAGGGGTTGGCCACATGCCTGTGCTTTTCTGCTTTGATTTAAAATACCTCCATGGGCTATGTTATTTAGGATGACAAAAATTGATAACACTTGGGAATTATTGTATTGTGCTCTGTATAGCACTTTTCCTACACTGACAGCACAAAAAGTTTTACATATCTAGAGAGGCTTGCTGTTATGAAGAGGAATGTACCTAAAAATGATATAAACAATCATAGACTCAAATGACACAGTTATTTTCAACACATAGTCCAGAGTTAATGAGACGTGTGAATGGTTTCATTGTGTAACAGTCTGAACTTCAGATGTGGCAGTTTCAGAGGGTGAACAAGGTCCAATTCATGACTGCTGTAATTGGACCAAAGTTGGTGACTAAAATGATAGGTCAAGTGTGGAGTATATGCACTCATAGCCAGAATCTGGCTATAGATCTAGGAAGTCTAGGTTCACCATTCACATAATCAATGGATGGGGGTAGACAGGCTGTTGAAGTGGCCTGCTTGAGTCAAGTTTGAAGGACATGAAATTTATCTAGGAGGGGTAAAGCAACAGGTGATGTTTCTATC